TCTCTATCTCAGTAGCTTAACTTAGCCAGGACTGAATAGCGTAAAATTAACAGCCAAAAAATCTGCTAGCTACTTTTTCTCTAAACGGTGTTATAGAAGGCCAATTTCTATATAAAGTGGAAACGAATCGACCAGTCATTTTGAGATGATATGATAAATCATTATCTCAAGCAGTTTAGAAGAATGGTGCAGGCGCCTCTTTAGATTTAAAGAGGCATCAGAAAACCAAGCACCTTATATCCTAAAGACTTATTGGGTTCATATAGAGAAATTCACATGATAGCGACTTGTAAAGCCAGTGTTTAAAGTTAATGAAATAGTCATTTACTACTCTAGGGTTAGAAATATTGATATGCCGGACTAAGCATTCATTGAGTTCGGTATTCGGCCAGTATATTATCAATCAAAGTTTTATATACATCGGCAAATGATCCAAAATGTTTCTGTGTTCATGTTATCTGTTGCCTACCTGTAGATCGGCATGACTAGACCGCCGTATCCGTCGGCTCACAGCAGCACAGATCTGCTGACTGCCGTCATGAAGGAAAGCCATACTTCCTGGAGGCAGATCTGGGGCTGGTCCGTCTGTATCTACACTAGGAGGAAGGTAAAGTTGGGGTTGACTCTGGGATGGCGTCAGAAGAAAGAGCTGCTGGAGGTGGCGACGCAGATCACCACCGATTTCTTCAGCTCTCGGACCAGGACCGAGACCACCAGACAGACGAGTATTCATAGGGAGCGCAATGAGACCCTTCTTGCTGGGTTGTCCAGACTGGGAATTTCCAGACTATGGAATCAAAGATTGAGAGGAAGATAATTAAGTGTGTATGTGTGCATGCATTTGTGTATGTATTAATGCGTACATACATGTATATGGGCAAGTAGGTATGTAGGTAGATAGATAGATAGGTAGATAGTGAGCTACTTGAGTTCATTAATTGATTGTCGAAAGTGCAATGTCGTAGGGTCTTCATAAGAATTCGCTACAGATGCATCCGATTTCTATTGCTAATCATACAATTCATAATGTGAAGCTAACATAAGCATTAAAAGACTTGATTACTAAAGATTTCATGATGAAACAAGATCTTTCTTTGATGATTTGAGTTACAAATTAATTTTATAAGCGCTGTATTCACCCTATTTCGTTTAAAGTGGAACTGGAAGTCTCGAAAAGCTTATTATAAAAGGAAAAACAAATTCATTTTATCACTAGAGAGCTACAGCCATGACAAAGGCAGAATAGACAGTAGCACTGAGGGAGAAATGTCATTCCTGAAAGATAAAAAACCTCAAATCAGCCTCCATAAGCAGCATTGAAATTATCGAAGACAAGTAACCATCTAGTTAAGAAAAGTAGAGCAATTATACATCCTAACGGCTCGAACTACACCAGGCCGGAATGGGGTCAGCAATCGACTTACGCGGAGATTTTGGATACAAGTGGGATAGATGAATGGCTGTTGATTGAGCGTGACCCGAAAGCCGGGCGGAGCGCAAGCATTGCGACTACCAGATGTGATAGGTGTAATTGGTAGGCGACGGCGACGGCCACTACTAGGTGCTGTGGACGAAGCATTAGTACACTCAGAAGGATTCCGGTCGGGCAGACTGGCCAACAAAGTCTGAACACGCTGATAAAGTAAGATAAATAAGGTGGTAGAAAGCAAAAAATTGTAGAAGATATGAAGCAAAAGAGCATATAGATAAGGAAATAATTTTCAAATGCCTACAATTAGGCCAAAGTTCGACTTGGTTGGGGCTGATCATAAGTAGTTATACAAGGAAATCATATACCCCAAAGCTATCGAAATAACTCTATAAACCCCGTTATATGCACACCAACAAAAATATAAGCAAAATAAGCAAAATAGGATGAATACACTTACTGGTAGTCTCAAAAATCTACGTATGAACGAAAAATAAGTAATATAGTCGATTGATGTGACAAATATAACTTTGCTTCATCGACACTCCCACCAAATAATGTGATAGGAGAAAAGGTCCGGCCTTCCCTGAAATTCGCATCTGCCCTGTGGCAATGTGGCGTAGTTGTTAATTTGCCGAGATTACAAACTGCATTAGAATGATTCGACTCCCGCTGGGGTATTGATAAGACCTAGGCGAGGACGAAATTGCATTCGACCCTGGAAAAACAAATTCATTGGAAATATTATCTCTATTCATATCGAAGGGAAAATTCAAATACTAATCCTCCATCATCTTAAAGGAAATAAGGTGAATATATCTCATAAAATGAATAAAGTAATTCGAAATATCTATACAACCAATTCAAAATGGAGGGGCGACCTGAATAAATAGAGCATCCTTATGAGCCCAGTAAAGCTTGACTTATTATCTAAGCCAAATAATGCTTGTAGGGCAATCAAAAGAACAAGAAGCTGACATATATACATGAAAAGAGAATGAGAATTTATCTTAACTAGAAGATAAACCCTGAACTCTAAAAAATGCAGGCTCTTCATCCTTAAACAGATCTGTTTCAACGCGTAAAAAATTAATCCAACCAATCACCATGTCGACAGCACAAAAAAGTAGCCTTAACTCATACTCTACATAAACAATCGAAAAGTACTAAAATTACTCTATGGAGGTCAAATGATTTACGCCCGAAATTTTGAGTTCACCTCAGGAAATGTGAAAGAAAAATAGTTAAGAAGAAAGAAACTATTTCAATAT